CACTGGATTGTCTACGTCCGTTTTGACTGGCCGAAGTAATTACTTTGGTTTTGGTTCTACGACACTCGATCGAAACTCGCTCTATTATTATTATTATTATTATTATTATTATTATTGTTATTATTATTGTTGTTATTATTATTGTTGTTATTATTTTTATTGTTATTACTATTATTATTATTATTTTTATTATTCCCGTAACTTCAGCACGAACCGAAAACACACGGTTGGTAGGATATTTATGATATATACTGGTAAATGAATATTGTGCGAAAGTTAGAATACTGTCCGCTAAATTGGCCAATGATAGCCCGCGTACTATCTGAGAGATAAAATAATTGAGCGTATTGTATAAAATTACTCAAAGGACTATAGATCTATGATCGACTTAAACAATTATTCCAATCCCACGAATGCATGGTAGGGTCATTTATGTTCCTTATTAGCACCACAACATATTACTTAAAATTGCTTCACTTTGGACGGAAAAACCGTGCTGCATGCCTGAAGAGGAAACGGTCACCCTTTGATTGAGCAATATTTGCACACTTACCTCAGTGCTAAATGAATGTCATGTGCCCCCTGACAGCACTCTAAGGCGACCTCTGATCTTTCCTCTCTCTTGGTGCAGAGCAAGCGCCATTTTCTGTCCCATTTGTGAAAAACGAGGGAGCAGGTGGTCTTGTTTTTAAGTGGGCTAGACTCCAGACTCCACTTAAAGACGCTGACATGGCCGGTTCTTTTGGTTTTGACTCTTAACCTGAACAATGGCCTAATTAAAAGAAAAGTAATGTCATCATTTAAATTTCTGTCTGTTATTAGAAAAAAAAAGAGATTAGTTTAAGGGTTTAAAGTTTTGAAAACAATTCCATTCTTCTCGAGAAGAATGCTTTGATTGGAGGCTAATTATTTACCAGCGTTGGATGGTAAAGACGAGCTCGCTTTGAAGGGCGAGATAAATAGAGGAGAAAGCCGAAATGTTGTCTTTTCAAACTCAGATTTCAGATATCCAATCATGATCAATGCGGTAGCTATATATTGTAGAGTTAAATTTTTCTTCAAGTGAGGCAAGCCGCAATTTGATGCGGAGGCTTACCATTTCCTTTACCCTCCAAAGAATGTTTTTCTACTCTCCTTGAGGAGACGATAGTGCCGGGGTTAGTTTCTCTCTAATGTTTTTCGACATCGCCCCTTCGCAGGTGAGCACCACATCCCTTGAAAGTCAAAGCAGCAGGACACTGCAAAGTGTGAGAAGGAAGCACATACCTGAAACGTAACGACCACTATCTGTTATCTGTTCCAGTATGTCGGGAGAGCCCTAAGCGCATATTTTAGTTTTCTTATATCTGATGTGCATTCAAATCTTCTCGACGTTGAAGAATGGCAGTTTGCCTTTAATTATCTCCGACCATCACAAAAACATGATCTTTCCCACGTCGTGAGTAATAAAAGCTATTAATGATGTCAATTGGGTTGAACCCCGACAAACTACGAACAATAGGCCACGTGTAACCTGCGAATTTGAGAAAATGCGAACATCTCAATGATTGCCACGTATTCTGAGTTCCCGACTAATCATCAAAATGTTTCATAGGATGCCGTTATATTAAATGTTATGGAACACAAGAATCCTCCTTACAGTCGAAATTTAGAAGAATTATTACATTCAAATGCGAAAAAAAAACTTCCATAATCCCTGATTAGTACTAGATTAGTACTATAAAATTGATAACTTAATATATACCGTGCGAAGTGATAAAACATAAAGGTGTAATGAAATGCACGTGTAAATGGTGACAAATGTAAATCAATAGTTTTGGGCATAAGGATTTCCGGCTCAAAATTTTCAAAATTTAATTGACTCGAAAATAAGATGCAATGAGGCATCTATATCATGAGGAACTTATCTTTAGAGCGATAAGTAAGACGCTGAGCATAGCGAACCAGGATAACTGTTGATCGACCAACGCGCCTCTTAGGGGATCTGAAATTTCTTTTAATCGTCGGAAGACATCTAAGAAAGGAAAGACACAAGACTAACCTTTCAATCATGTCTTTACAATTCAGAGGTGATATCTTTTTCCAATTGCAGATATCCTCTTTATGAGCATCCATGTCTTTATGTTTGACCTTCATCCCACAAACGCAGTTACTTCTTTCATTACACATCGATCTGAATGCAACGATGTGTTGCGTCTCTTGACCTTTTCGTTACAATGGCTGCAGGTCATTTCCATTTGAGGATAATTGTTGACATGGTCTTTGGCCATGTCGAGGGTAAAAGTAGCATTGCTACCAAGGCACTCTCCTTGAAATGTGGACAGCACCTTGCATGCAAAGATATTTTTGCAAAACTGATCCACACTTTGTCGACACATCGGGCAAGAAATCGGTCTCAGTTTTGCCGAGTTCATCCACACAGAAGCCACAAAACGAGTGA